TTTTTTTTTTTTCGCACCAAGGGATTGAACCCAGGGGTATTTCATCAATGAGCCACATCCCTTATTTTTTATTTTGAGACAGGGTCTTGCTAAGTTGCTGAGGCTCACTTTGAACTTGCACTTCTCCTGCCTCATCAGCCTCCTGAGATGCTGGGATTACAGGCATGCACCAATGTGCCAGGCTACCCCTTTCTCATTTGGGGGTCATCTTCATTGTCTGCTGGGAAGTATTAGGGCCATATTTTGCTTAAGTATTTTATATGGTGCTAAGGATGGAACCCAGGACCTCACACATGCTCAGCAAGTATTCTGCCACTGATTATACATCTAATCCTTTTATTTTACTTTATTATGAATCAGTGTCTTTCTGAGTTGTCTAGGCTGGCCTTGAACTTATGATCCTCCTGCCTCAGTCTCCTAAGTAGTTGGGAGTACAGGAATGTGCCATCCGTTAGGCCTTGCTGGGACCATTTTTAAAAAACAACTGGGACAATAATCTTGACACTCCCTACACCAGCCATTTGCTGCTCAGTTTATTGTGGTCTCCTGTGAAGTGTAAGCCACTGAAGTGTTCTTACCTTTTAAATCCATCTGCTTTACCAAATAATTCCTTAAAGGTAGCTTTTGCATCTTGAGTAAGTAGCCAACTACCACAAGCTTATTCAAAACACATGGAGAGAGGCTAGGGATGTGGCTCAAGCGTAGCACGCCGGCCTGGCATGCGTGGGGTGCTGGGTTCGATCCTTAGCATCACATACAAATAAAATAAAGATGTTGTGTCCACCGAAAACTAAAAAATAAATAATAAAAATTTAAAAAAATATGGAGAATGAGATTGCAAGTCTTGGGCAGTGTGCTGTTTGGAGCAAATGATCCCTTACCTGAGTCTTTGGTATATGAGCTGGGGTTTCTTAGTATTTTTCTTACTGGTGGGGAAAAAAGTTTTAAGCATGCATTCAGGCTGCCATCATCTCTAGGTTAGGCAGGGGTCAGCAAACTTCCTTTAAAGGTCTGTGTAGTAAGTGTTAACATTTAGGTTTTGCACACTGCACAGCCTCTGTGCCCCTGTAGTGCAAAGCCAGCCATAGGTGATATATGAACAAATGTGTGGTTGTGTTCTCATAAAACCTTCATTACAAAAGCAGGTGGTTCACCAATCAAAATTTGCTGACCTCTGGCCTCTACTATACTAGTAGTACCTCTTAAATGATCTTCCTCTCCTTATCTCCTTACAATTCTGTCAAAGGGATCTTTTAACAATAAAAATGAGCATGTTTCTCTCTGGATTAAAACTTGGGAATAGTCTTCCATCAGCCTTTCTATAAAATCCAAGTTTTTTACCAAGACCCGTAAGAATACATCTAGGTCCTTGTGCTCAGTTAAATTGACTTATCTCTTCTAGGCTCATACCTGCAAGCCTGTTCTGCCCCAGGGCTTTTGTACAAGCTGTTCCCTCTGCCTAGGACATCCTCTGGTTTTTCTGTGGCCAGCCTCCTCCTCATGTAGTTCTCAGATCAGATGATACCTCCTTGCAGTGGCTCTTCCCTGATTGCTTTACTTGAAGCACCTCTTCTGGGCCCTGTGTATGTCATCTTAACGCTTAGTACCAGCCGGAGTGATCAGTTACTGATTACCTTGTGTACCCTATAAGTCCCCACCAGCTCTGCTGGTTCAAGAGAGTCTCTCCTAGGTCATATTCTGCACAGCAGCCCCAGTTCCTCAAACAGCTCGTCACACTGGAGATAACTAGTATTTGTTGGATGGATTGCCTTCTTTTCAAAACCCTGGTATTTGTAAAATATTTCTACTACTTGAAGCTCCTTTGTTCAAGGTATCCTAACTATATTTCAAAAACTAATATAGTATTGTACCCTAGGGTTTATGCAGAGAGGAAGGAGACTTGCCTAACATCACAGAACCAGTAAATGAAAGGGAGGAGAGCAGACATCAGTGGACTTGGGATGCCTGGGAGCCTGGCTGGCATTCCAAGGCCTGCATTTGGTTTTCAGTCTCGTGGTTATCTTTGTCATTTATTTGTTTAAGGTTATTTATCTTCATGTTGGTCCCAGAAGGCGTCAGACTTCTGGGCACTTTTGGACTAGCACATAACTACCAGGAAAACCTCAGCTGTATGGGACAGCTGTGCTGGCTGCCCTCTGTCCTCCCTGCTTGTTGAGCTTTACTAAGGGACTGACATGAAGAACAGTTGCTGTAAATACTCCTTTGCTTAAGTGAGAGCTGATTTATTATGCCATGTTTAATTTCCTAATGAGAACAAAGTAGATAAGTAGGAAGTTCGGCATTTGTTTCTGGGGGGAAAACTTACTAGCTATGTTCTGTTCTTTGGCTGATAAACAACTTCAGCTGCTGACATTGTTCTCAGAAGTTGCCTCCCTTTTCTGTGGGGCAGGAATCCTTCTGAAATTGTTTGGACATTTCCAACGTGGAGGAGCAGTTTATCATTTTTTGTCTGTGAAGCTCACATCATGAGTTTATGGATGTTAAAGTTAATAGGATGGATTTAGTCCTGAAGAGTTGTTGTTTCTGAGCAAACCAGGCCTATAAAATATTCTTATTTCATAGGGGAATTTGTTGCCGAAGGGAAAAGAACCCTGTAATAAAATGAGGTTTTTGAATCAAGTTCTCCATATTGTCTGCCTGCTTTAAGATGTGTCATACATATATACAAAGTACATGTATGGGGACTGGGGATGTGGCTCAAGTGGTAGCGCGCTCGCCTGGAATGCGTGCGGCCCGGGTTCGATCCTCAGCACCACATACCAACAAAGATGTTGTGTCTGCCGAGAACTAAAAAAATAAATAAATGTTAAAAATTCTCTCTCTCTCTCTCTCTCCTCTCTCACTCTATCTTTATAAAAAAAAAAGTACATGTATGAAGACATGAATTGGTGTGAACATACTTTACATAAAAACAGAGATATGAAAAATTGTGCTCTATATGTGTAATAAGAATTGCAATGCATTTCGCTGTCATGTATTTAAAAAATGAAATCAATTAAAAAAAAGATGAGGCATACCTATACATTTAGTGACTACTTAAAAATATGGATTTGCCTGTAAAGGCACAGTTTGGGAAGTATTTTTATTTCTAAAGACATTATTAAGGCCAAAAGAAAACTCAGTTCACAGGGAAAACTGGCCTGTTGTGATGATGCCTTACAGTAAGGTCGTTGGGGGAGAAGCGGGTAACAGCCCCTTCATGGGACTCTTGTGTGTTCTTATACGGCTTTGATTTGTTACTGAGTATTTAAATTTGATTCTCTTTGTAGATTGCTGCTAAGATTGATTCGATTCCTCACTTGAACAACTCCACGCCTCTCGTGGATCCCTGCGTGTATGGATATGGCGTGCAGAAACGGCCCCTGGACGATGGAGGTGAGTTCCCTGCGTGCCCTCCCGCAGGGTCAGAGTGAGCCTACCAGCCATGCTTGACTCTTTCAGCCCTTTCCTTAACGGCTCTTTCCAGCATCGCTTTCTTGAGAGGAATGGTAGAGGGGATGTATTTAGGATAATTGTTCTCAACAATTCTCCAGCATTTGAGTTCCTATTTGCCTTGATAATACAGAAATTTTTTCAGCTGGGCTCCAAGGTAAAGACTTGGCCTTGAACATCCATCTGGAAGTCATTTGACCCCTTTGAGAATTTTGATTTAGCTCTCAGTTCTTCTAGTGCATGTGTGGAAATTGAAGTTCCCACTTTCCTCCAAAGAAAAGCTAAGATTTGGTGTGCAGCTCTGAGGAAGCTGTGGCTGCATCTTGTACTCCAAGAAAGGAAACAGGGATGGTGACCTTTCACAATATCTGCTGAGTTTTCACCTCCCCATTTATGACAAGCTCTTTCAAGAAGCTTCTGTTTTTATTTTATTCATTCATACATTTAGTGTTTTATTCATTTTTGTTTTCTTCTCTATCCCAAAAGGAATTTGAGAATCCTGTACAGGGTGTGAGGGTCATTTGATGACACTTACATCCGCACATAGTTAAGGGTCTTCTCTGGTTTTCTGCTGTTCTTCCTGTCTGTGTATTATTTCTGTGATACAAGTGAAAGAAAGGAAAGTGCAGAATAGAAGTATTGTATCTTCCAAAGAAAGTAACTGTTTTTATGTACTTAGAAAAAATATAATTTGGCTGGGTGTGGTGGCACATGCCTAAACTCAGGAGGCTGAGACCAGGGGGATTGCAGGTTCAAGGCCAGCCTCAGGCCTGGGTCTGTGGCTCCCTGATAGAACATTTGCCAGCACGTCTGAGGCACTGGGTTAATCCCCAGCACAACATAAAAATAAATAAATAAAATAAAGCTATTGTGTCCAACTATAATTAAAAATAATTTTTAAAATAATTTATTATTTATTTTAATACCTTTTTAAAATTTATTTTTATGTGGTGCTGAGGATTGAACCCAGGACCTCATAAGTGCTAGGCACGTGCTCTACCACTGAGCCACAATCCTAGCCCTAAAAATATTTTTTAAAACTAGCCAGACTTGGGGCTGGGGATGTGGCTCAAGCTGTAGCGTGCTCGCCTGGCATGCGTGCGGCC